GGCATATGAGAACAATGGAATGTTTCAAAAGCTTTGCGTATTAAGTGCTCCATATCGCATCACAGTGTTAGAGCTGTGTAACTTAACTACCACTACTTAATTCTCTCTTCTCTTTGTACTTTCCCTTCAGTATGTTCATCTGAGTTGGTATCGTTATTTGTTGTTTATTATTTTGATAATGCTTATGTACGGTTCATCTCGTTCATTGAATTTGTAAAAAGTATTTGTATATGTACAAGATTTACCATACTTTTGGGGTTCCGTAAAAAATCAAATAAACAGAACTCTGTTAGAGTTGAGTAGAATCAAATTGTTATCCATCCATCTGTCAAGACCCTTCCTTCAAAAGCACTTGAGATTTTCATACTACAAGACAAACGTTATAATATCAAGGGCTGGATTCTGTTGAAGCAATAAAAAAAAACTTTTAAGTCAACGTCTCATTTTCTCATGTCAAACATTTTGACGTTCGCAAGATATTCAAACGAGTACTTCCCATTGACCTGAAATCATGAAATTGACAAAAACTAACTAGGGATGACGTCTCTTTCTCCCTCCAAATATAAGAGCTATGCTCTTGTCGGTGCAGTCTATGGATCCCCCTCCATCTCCCTCTGTCCTCCGGCATCTCTTTGAGCCTGGGGGGGTGGGGCTGTACGACTCAACGCCAACCTTTTCCTTAATTTTGCTTAGTGAAGGCTATCCTCGGTTTTCCCCTTCCTCTTTTTCCTTCCACTTTTCCCTCAATGATGTTCTTTATGAATTAATCGTGTCGCACAAGGTGGCCGAATGTCGATGATGACTATATAACTTTTTTTTCTTCGTCCATCAGGTAGATTATCATAAAGTATTAGACACGTATTTCCTTTTATCACATAATCAAAATATTACAAAGATATGTTGATTTAAAATGTCGCTAGACGTCACGTCTTGGTACAATTTTTACTTAGAAGTGACGTCATGAACCATCTCTCCCAAACTTTGACGCTCACGATCTTTATTATGTTTTGGTTGATTGGCAAAGGAAATAGATGTCCATTATGTTTTGATAATCTAACTGACGGACGCGCTACCGGCACTGCGCTTACAACGTATGGAAGCCTACATCACGCTAGGGAAATTCGGAAGCAAACACTTACAATATGCAATGCCTGATCAACATCAGTCGGGCTGCGGCCCCCGAGCTTACACCACCCATCCCGGAGAAAAATCTTCCCCTTTGGCCTTCCTACACGTTTATCTTTCCTCATCATCATCCTTATCACGGTGATATTTAAAAAAAATATATGATTGCTCCAGCATACCTCCTCCATCAATTGCTTGACCTCCTTCTTGACAGTGGCGATGAGCCGCTCCTTCTGTTCTGTGCTTGGGTCCGCGGCCGCGGCGGCCGCTGGCATCTCCTCTGACTCGCTCTCAGCTGCAACAAGAAAATACGTGATTTAACCCCATATCACCTAAATTATAGTGAAATAGATCTGTTTATTACCTCTTTATCTAACTATACTAATATTTTAAAGAGGAAAATTTTGATTGTTTGTTTGAATTGCATAGGCTCCTAAACTAAGGACCCGATTAGAAAAAATATTTTAATATAGAATCCTACGTTATCCCTAATGAACAAAGGAAGTATATAAAATATTTTCAATAAAGTAAGGGATCAATATGAAAACATCGATAGTAAAAAATCTTAATAATAAATGTTTTAAAATAACATTTTTTTTACCCAAAAAAGGGTAAGTTCATCTTATTTCGTAAGCATTGTATTTTATTAATTTTAGTGTATATCCTACTACTGGACTACCGACATGTTTTTTTTTAGTTTATATCTTGTTTTGTTACAGATTTTATTTCTACCATAAATAAACCGTTTCAAGCTTATTGTTGGCGATTTATTACTTCTATCGAACCCCCTCTACCGACGGCAACCGTCGCAAAACGTTTTATTATTTAACTAGCTATGATACCCGGCTTCGATCGGGAGTTGATATGAGATTACGTGGTAGTTAAATAAAAAAATAAAATATGACGCAAAAAGTAAAAAAAAATATATTGAAAACATTTTCTCATTATTTACACTACTTGTTTATAAACAACATTTTTCATTTTATTGTCCGGGGTATATATATATAAATTTTTCGAATTTCCTACTCTTGAGCAAGCTACAAATAGCTGACTGTGAAAGAAGCAGGATTCTTTGAGGTTGATGCCACAATATTTTAAAGTTTGCCCATGCGCTTTGTTAATTGTAAAACTAAAGGCTAATTTAATTGGAAACTGCAATCTTTTAAATTGAAATGGCAATTCAGAAGAGATCAGTGGTATTCTAGGTATAAATACTGTGTGTCTTTTGTTCTTTCCAGAAATAATTTGATAGCTGTTTTACGATCATCCTCGTTCCATTACATAGTTTCGGGGAGTTGAGATTTCTGAGAAGTATGAATGGAGATCCAATTTTCAGACGAAGGCAGTCTAATAGCATTCCTGGGAATTGTAAAGAGTTTAGAAATTCAGTAGGGAAGTTGTCCCTTTCTTCAATGGATACCATCGTGTCGATCGATTTATATATTTTCTCTTCACCAGGTATTTTCTTTAGAATATTAAAATTGATATCGTCAACAATATTATTTTTATTGGCCAAAAATGCTCTTTGAAATAACCACTCTACGTTGGTATAGTTCTGAATAATATTTGGATAAATTTTGACGATTAGTTCGTTTTCAGTAATGGCTATGTTACAGAAATCACTATTGAGTTCAATGAGGCCGGTCGTTTGGTCAGTAGGATATGTACTTTCGCCCATTTGTAAAAGTATTTTAGCAAAATGTGCTGTTGTTTCATCTTTTGATAATTCAATTCTCATGTTTTTTGTTAATTGCAATATTTGTACTTGAGGCCAGAGATGTGACTTTTTTAAGCATGCATTGATCTCGTCTGCTGATGTTGGAATAACTTGGGAATAACTGGAAGTGTTTGTCGAAAATCTCCTGAGAGTATGATTAGAGCTCCTCCCATTATTACAGAGATTTTTCGCAATTCTTGTAATGTTCTGTCCATAGCTTCTAGTGATTTTTATGGGCCATGGTGCATTCATCCCAGAAGATAATTTTAGCTTGTTTTAGAAGTTGACCCCGTCCAGATTTTCCTGAGATTTTACATACCGGGAATTGTTGTTCGGCTATATTCAGCAGTAGTTGTAAGGCAGAATGGGCAGTTCGTCCTCCTTCCATAAGTGTGGCTGCGATGCCGGATGATGCTAGAGCCAGTGCGATGTGTTTTTGAGCACGTATTTCCGCCAGTATTAGATTTATTAAAAACGTTTTACCGGTGCCTCCTGGTGCGTCCAAGTAAATAATTCCACCAGTGTTGTTATTTATCCGGTTCATTACGTTGTAAACTTTTTTTTGATTGTCATTGAGGAGTGATTTGTTGTGAGCAATGTATTCAAGTAGTTGATTGACGTTGTAGCTTTTTTCCTTTGTGATTTCGTAGTTTAGCACACTGGAAGCATTTCTCTGTGGTGCTGGCATTCCAAGTTCTACTAAGGCTTGGTTATTTATTGCTAAACATTTATCTTCTAAGCGAATGAATATTTCATTAAATATGTCGTCATTGATCTCTATAGTCAGTTCTGGATTAATTTGTCGGATTTGGTACAATATATCATCACTCATACTCTTTTTGAAAGAGTCCCATAGCTGTTTTAGGTTTGATGGGTTACATGTTGTTAGAATTATGGCGAATAACTCTCGAATTTGTTCATCTGAAGCTGTAACTGTGGCTTCTTGTAGTGTTAAATCCCAGTGGTTATCGTTTTCCAATAATCCTAAGCATTGACAAGCTTCTCTGTACGCCTGGCATAGATAGCCGTCAATGGTCCTGCGATCTGTGAAACTTGTTAGTCCCCGTGTTTCGTGTAACAACATCCGGAGATAGAAACATTCGGCATTGTTTGGATGTACAATGTATACTCGACCTATTGCGTTAGTTTTCATGATTTCTGGCATTTGTTTTCGTCGTTGAAAAATTTTCCTTGTTTTGTCCCACGTATAATAAATAGGGACGTCGACATACAGTAATGTCTTTGCGAAAGGATCCGTTTGGCACAGTTGGAAAAAAGCTGTTAATGTTGTGTTCTGAGGTGGTTCGCTTGCAATTTTTCTAGCCGAATCTTTTGTGAAGTAAACTCTCAGTCCATTCTCTAAATGTACTACTAGATGTTGCACAGCTGGTTCGCGTTCGTGTATGGGAAAACTCAAAATCCTCCACGCTGCTTCGTTACTGTTGATGTATCTTCCCATTTGGTAGTGGGTTATATGGTACTGCTCTACCCATTGATTAATTATCTATTTCCAGTTCGTCTCTGCCTTGTATTCGTATTTTTGATGTGAAGCCACCGTTTTTCGGTGATTGTCTTCTATATTTGGGATTGCCATCATCTTCAGTTTTTATATCGTCCAAGTATGGTTTTGGATATTTTTTATACATTTTCCATCACTCATGCATGGCGCATTGAAGTTTAATGGCCCACATGGTCCGTAAATCATGTTTTTCACTACTATGTTGTATAGTTCAGGATCTTTTTGTAGATTGGGAAATTCAGCTTGGATCATTTAGTCGATATCCGTGGGATAAATTTTATCGTGTAGCCATATGAGATTGTGTGAGTGAGGTAATCCTCGTTTCTGCCACTCGATTGTATACATCCAGCATCTAACGGTTCCAAAGATGTGGTATTTTTTGATGACTTCAATAAATGTTATTTGTTTTTGTCGAAAAACTCGGGCTATTATGTCGTGTCGATCCATGGAGGTTTGTCCGTATTTCAGTTGTTCTTTGATGTCTGGCCATGATGAGTTGCATGTAAATGTTATGAAGAGATCAGGACGTCTATTTTCTTACGTAGGTCATGGCGTTGAGTATATTGGTGCATATGTCATGGACTTCCTATGTATGATGAAGGTAAGATTACCATTGTTCCAATATCGTCAATATTGCCGTCATTTATGATCGCGTCTCGAAGGTTGTATGAATGATGGACGTATTCTTCTGTGCGTAGTTTCTTGATTCAGTCTTATGTAAAGCATTCGTTCTGCTTCTATTTTTGCGTACATATCTACCAGAAATTGTTGGAATAAACGGCGAGTGTTGAGTATGTGATTGTATATTTCATTGTCTCTAATCATTAAGCGGTAAGCATAGAACTCCTTGGAAGTGACTTTTTTATTTGTTTCTATGCCTGTTTCAGGATGAATGTGTTTTAGATTGAAATGATATGCGTCCTCTCCGTGCAGAAATATTAACGGATATTGAAGAGCATCATATGAACGGTGTTTCTCTGCAATGCGTTGTAGTCCTTTTCTTCTTCGTTGTACAATTATGTCACAGCTTGTATTTTCATTGTCCACAATTACGATGGCGACTTCATCTGTCTGATGTGAATTAAGTCTACGTTCGTGTTCTCTACATGGTCTTTTATCGGCTCGAACTACAATTTTATAGTCATCAGAAATCAGGCGGTCTAATGTTGTTCTGAATATGTAAATCAGTTGATTGTATTTGTGTAAGATCCTCTGTATATCTTGGATTATTTTGCGTCTCAATCCATTAAATTTTGTGCATCGTTGATCAATTTCTTGTTCTTCATTTCCGATGAAATATATTTGCAGAAATTTATGGTCATCGTTAAGCATTGAAAGTAATGATCCTATTTTGTGATAAATTTGCCCTTGAATTGAAAATACATATTCAAATTCATTTCTATTAGTATTAGTCGAAGTAACACCGCAAGAAGTCATTTGAAAGCAGGAGTTGTATGATCTTATATTTTGAAGAAAGTGTTTTGATTCTAGTGTTTCCCCGGTCAGGTAATTTAGAAATTCCTGCGGCGGTGCTTCTAGTGGTGGTAATCTAATTTTTTTTCGCGTGGCAAAATTGGCAAATGTTATTCATTTTTCCGATTACATATTTATGATTGTAATATAATCGACGAAAAAGTCGGTTAGTAGTGGAATGCTTCCTTTGTTAGATTATCTGTGAAAATTCTCGATTCTTCAATACTTTTATTTTCTTTTCTTTCTTCGCTTTTTCAGTATGCTCATTCTGGCTCGTTGATTTTGTAAAATGTTCTCAGTATGCTCATTCTGGCTCGTTGATTTTGTAAACGTGCTATTCTTCCATTTTATTTCTTCGATATTCTTTTTGTTTCCGCCGTTTCGCTGCAGAACTGACAAGATCTCCTCCTCTTTAACGTCTAGGCAATGTATTCTGTAAAATATAAATTAAAAAATAATAATATATTGTTACGTAAACGTGGGGTACGTCGAGACAAAGAAAAAAAAATATTTAAGGAAATTACAACTAAAAGAAAAAAAAACCATTAGAATTAATTAAACACACTATTAAAATACTCACATTTGATATTTCACAATAAAGGATCAAAGACAACTTTTTTCTTCTTCGCTTCAAATCGAGAATTAATTAAAGACACTATTAAAAGTGCTCACAGGTGATACTTCAAAATAAAGGCTCACAGATAATTTCTTTCCTTTTCGTTTCGAAATCGCTTGTTTCGCTGTTCAAATCGAACTAACTCTGGCGGGCGACACCGGGCTCTTATATATTCAGAGAGCTAGGCTCTAGGATATTCGAGAAAGTTTTTGAATATTTTCTCTCTCACACCTTCTTCAAGTTCAAATACTCGACGTTAGATGGCGCCACAACAGTTAATTTCCAAGTTGAAGGGTTGGAAAAGCCCTTATATATTGAAAAACACGCCCTTTAGGTTAAAACGGAAACTTTCTTGTTCGAGGGGGGATAAAGGGCTATCACACTATATAAGTCTCTTTATCGTGCCGGGACTCCTTTTTAGGTTATATCGGCACGCACATTTAATCAACTTAGTTTTATTATATATAATAATGAATTTTGACAGGATTTCATCGGACTACCCCTAAATAAATCTCATCTGAAGAAGACCCTTATAAATACACGATAATACAAAGTACACTTCTTAATAGAGGATGGTCATGAATGGAAGGAAATACCCTTCCTTAAATTTGTAACCTATTAGTAAACAAAGCTTTAACTAAGTTAATCTACATCGGTAATTTAATAATAACTGATCTCTTTCATGATATTATTTGATTTAGACTATAATAGCAACAAAATCTTACACGCTTATTAATTTATCACTCAGAAAAAAGTCCCTACTTTTTAATTCGTTTTTTGCCAGTGCTTTGTCATTTTATCAAAAAAAAACAATTGTCGCAGTTAATACTTATAGTCATGGGAAAATATTAATTATATCATTGCGGCAATTTATTTTCTCATTAACAAAATATGGATAATCGAATACTATTACATTGTACAATGAACGTATACATGCTCGCTAACTTGTGCCAATTTTCAAGTATCAGGTGGTACAGTGTCGTAATAATTTTACTCACTTTACTTTCAATCTGAGGATGGCTTCTTACGTATGTAGTAGAGAATATTGTAAAAAAATTGAAATTAATACTTCCAGACAACTTCTGTCAGCAGTATTTATTGCCAGACACTTTAAATATCGAAGCTAATTACACAAATTAACTTACAGTCTGAGCCCTGATATTTTACTTCGATATTTAGGGGGCTTTTATTATATTTTGTAAGCTGCCAGACCAATCTTAGGGGCCAAACATTCCCTAAGCTTGGTCCATGAGAAAATAAGTAAGGTCTGGCGTTCTTGGGATCCTGTACTATAAAATTGTATTTGACTCGTTCTATTGTTTGTTAAGATTTTGTAGCAATTAATCTGCCTTACTAATTGGCAGCCAGCTCAGCAATCCCTTTAGCTGATTCGTCGTCATTAATTAACATCATAGACCTTAGGCCGCACGCTGCGTTAGGAGGGACCACGGAGCAGACATCCGCTACGACTACTACTATTATTTCATAGAGCATCGCTGCTTCAGGCCGGTATCCCGTTGCAGCACGTTCTATGAAATGCATAGAGCAACCGCGTTGGTCGTGTTGCGCTCTGAAATGACATGAAACTACACGCGGAGCGGACGACCGCTCGCTCCGTACTCCCGCTTAACGCAGTACACTCCCTTAACCCTTAGCATAATACTTATTTTACTGTAAAGTATGTTTTGTATACATTTATTATTATAATTATTCCTGAAGTTACACCCCAACTACATATAAGTACAAACATTAGGATGAGTTTATAAGTCCAGAGTCCATCATAGATGAGTACAGAAATGCCATATATACATTTCCAACTTCAACTTGTTTAGACATATTCTTAGTAATCTGTGCTTTAACTTATCCAATCTATTTACTAAAACTTTCCTAATATTGTGTACAGTCAATGTTTGTATGGAGGAAAGCAATATTTTCTTCAATACGTATTTATAACTAGATATATTGCCCTCGGGAGAAACCGTTAGTTATCAATGATGGAAGGTTTTTACTCCCCAAACTTTTCTCATATAGCTCCCACACCTGCGTCCATAATTATATTACCTACTGTTTATCATTTGATTGAATTGAGATATAAAAACGACAGAATCGCTGCAATAATATTATCGTCTGCAGGATTTTATGACTTTAGAAGTCTTGGATAATTTATAACTTTGTCGTTTTGTACACAATACAGACCAGCTGCATTTGAATTATTCTTAAAATCGATAAAGCTATTAAAAATGAGAATATTAAAATATTTTTCTCTCAGTTTTTTTTTTAATAAAATTTCCTCAAAGCTTTTTCCTCAATTTTTCTAGATGTTCATCTCGTAATATAATATACTGTGCTGTATATATGTGCCACGTCGACGGCAATGTAACATAAAATATGGCCGTAAAAACATTTCATATCGTGAACACCACAATTTCTTTTTACATCACGAAATTTCGTTCTGAATATTTCCGGTACGTAATGACACAAATAAATTAATAAATAAATTATAATACAGTATTTAAATGCTACTGGTTTAGAGTAATGTTTCTTAATAAATAATAATGTTACCTATTTTAGTATGCCGTAATAACCAAAGGATTATGTTATGTATGAGTTATTACTTTATTTAAGGGGTTATATGTAACCCCAAATTGTTAGCCTTCGCTGTCAATGCGTCTACTATCAGAATAACATGAACATGATAGATAAAAATGGGAACGTCGGATAATTCCAATGGCGAAAAATGTAATAAAAATTATTTTATATTTAAAATTATTAAAGTCTAAGAATCTAAATAAAATTATATTTCGAGTGGTCGCCAATCCAAGCAAATAATCCCAGTCAATCTATTAGACACGATGACATGCAATGCATGCTTTCTTCTTTTTGTAGTCGGTTTAGAAAAGCCTTTGATTTTTCTTAATTCTTCCCAGTACAAGGCCTCCCGGCAAAAATGTTATGGCGTAGCTCTTCAAGTTTACTAGGATCTTATGCTTATATTGGTTTGAGTTACTTATTTTTATCTATTTTATTATATTTTAGCACAGTGTAGAAACTTAAAGTAGTACAACGCCTTTGAAGTCTCGCGAAATGCCGCTTTTGTCTAGAGTCTAGACATTCGTCATTGTCGCGGGGTTGTCACATTTTTTAGTTTTAAGTTCCATATTTACAGGATATAGTATCCTATACTGTATATACTACTTACTATCCTTCTTAGTAATATTATAATTGTGAAAGTTTGTTACTCAATCACGGAAAAACTACTGATATCGAAAAAAATGTTGTATTGAAATCAGCACCTTCGGAAACCATTAATATCGACACCTATATCGATTTTAGTGATAGCTGCAAATTCGCCGTCTTGGATCTCGATATTAATATTATATACGGAATCAACACCCTCAGAAAACATGAACACATCGACACCCATGTCGATTTTATTGAAAATTTCTTGGATCCCATTTAATGTTGTACTTGTTTATTCGAAATCAGCACCCTCGAAAACCATGAATATAATATAGATTTAGTTTAAAAAGGCAAAAATAATGTTACCAATTATTTTATCAACCACCAATTAATACCAATATATTTTATTTATTTATTCCACCGATTTTAATAAAAATGTGGGTCCGCTATCTTTGCTCTGGAAACGCCTAGGTGTTATTTATTTGAATCTTTAATTAATGTTAAGCCTATCATCTTTGTACGAGGAAAATAAAAAATATCCTGTCCAACATTTACAAAACATTAGTTGAATACCGGTTAATTTATTCAAGAGTCACGTCCCAAAAGTTCGCTATTTTGTTTGTATATTCTAACAACTAAAAACTAAATTATTATGAAATTACTTACCTTTCTTCTGTGCACGGAAACTTTTAAAATTTTAATTTCAAATTCGTATTTATACGAAATGTTGACATACATCGTATCACGCCACATGTAGTAGGGACCATTTAAAAAGAAATTCAATTATTTTATTTAAATCATCTCTTACAATCCCCGGTCGCTGTATGGGATTAAGGCATCAGCCTGCCGCTCTGTTTTGAGATGCCATAATGCCCCCCACCTAATATCTAATGCCCCGATCCTTGAAATAACACTATCATACCTACTGATTTGACGTAATAGGTAAGTATATAAGATTCACCTTAATTCTTCTAATTATCTGGGTAACGATATGTACTTTAAAAAGGGTAAGCAAGGGCAACTTAAAGATTCCCCATGCCTGCATTTAAGAAGTGCCTAATTGTTAAAACCTTTTTTTAATTGACTATAGTCTGCCCCATAAACTTACGTGCTTTCTTTTACTCTTTTGTCAAGAGTTTGTTATGCATCTAATAGATAAAATTGGTAT